CTATTAATTATTGCTTTACCTCGGAAATAAATAATTCCGGCATTTCATCAAAATTTTTAAATCGTTTGAGTACAACAGTTCGTTGCTCAAACTCGTCTTCCGAATACTTTTTATACTTGGCAGTATAAACTGTTCCGTAACCACCAACTCCGATCTCTTTGAGTTCATCAAAGTCGCTATACTGAATGTATTTAAAACGTTCAAGGTTTCGTGTAAATGTGTCCAATATCGCACGTATTTCATAGTAGAAAACTAAATAATATTCCCGAGTAGATGGCTCCTGAGTGATTCCAATTATCCAGATATTATCAGGTGTCAATATCGTCGGGTATTCCTTAGTTAACTATTTTGAGTAAACAGAATACATATTATAACACTGGTTAATTAAACGTATGATACGCACTTATCGATTGCATTGTTTACACGTGAAATAATTTACCTGATGAAAATTATCGGTTTGTTCGTCAACTACTTTTTTGAGTGTTACACGGGTCAATTCATTCCATTCCGCTATATGCGTACATCGATGGCGTAATGGCGTCATCTCTTGTACATTTGTTAATAGGGAATATTCAACCCATTGTATATACGAATCATAAACGTGCGTTATATTACTCCACGACTCTATGATAAATGAATCTAAAGACTTGTTGCCAGTCGTCCAATCAAGAGGTCGTGGTGCTTTACATTCAAAACAGAATGCATTTATCTTGGGTTCTAAACGTTCTGTGCACGCCAGACATAAACCATCCGTATGGTCAACTTTTATGAGATAATACTTTTGTTCGCTTGCTTTGTATGTAAATCCGATGGTATCCCAAACATCCGTGGTAACAATATCAGGATGCTCATCACATAGCTAGTTGAAATGATGCATAATAATAAGTTAATAATTATTTAAACTATTCAATAAACATGACGCATAAGTAAATAGTTTACCTCGGCATAATGTAAATCATATGTCTCATCTGTTATCTCAAGTGGAATCAAGTTAACATCTGCACAAGTAGGTAGACCATTCAAGTATAAGCCATAACCCCTATCGTCAATACAATCGAATGGAATCCATTCCAAATAGGCGTCATTTGGTGAGTTTGTTTGTAGTTGAGATTTCTTAATAAAGTCATCGAGTTGGTGATTGTTGCTAGTCCACCCATCGGATAATTGTTTGTAACCACAAATGCACCACACGGGACTGCATCGGAGTATTCCACATGTGGAGCAGAAGCCATAAAGAGAATAACAATGGTAAAAGCGTTCATGAGCAACCATGTAATAGTTATCTTCGTATTTGGTGAATCCAATAATGAGGTTGTTGTTGCGATAAGAAAGCCATGTGGAGTATCTTCTTAATTGATTAACGTCACTGTTATACTTGTGTGTTGGAAGCGAGTATATCCTAGCAAACTCACTCACAAGTGTTGGTGTACATTCTTTGCTCTTCCCAAGGAATACCAGCGTTATCTCACAACGACTCATAGCGCAGTAAACGTTGTCAATTTGAGTAGGCTTTACTTTGGTAATTTCCTCGTAAGGTATCCATTCAAGTTTATTTTCTTCATCCACATAACAGGATTGAACCAAATCGTCTATTGCTGGATTATTAACAGTCTCTGATGCCAACGACATAGTAACAGGTTGAAGTTAAAGAGAATTTTTTTCAAGTTGAACAAATGTTCGTTCTTCAACACTTGTGTTACATCGCACATCCGCAGGTCCATCGTTTCACGCATATTACCATTTACATTGTTTGTCAAGTCGCTTTTTTATTATCTATAGTACGTCCATACATCTTCCCAGGGCAAGGGTATTTTATAGTCTAATACTTTTATTATTATCTTCATTGTTCTTGTCACGTTAAAGTAATATGCGATAAGAGTATAACCGAGTCTTTGCCAAGTTTCAAGCACTTTGGGCAGTGTAGCGTAAACGCTTATCGATAATAGTAATTAGTATATCTAATAATTGACACGTTTTTTAGAAATAGAATTTCATTTCCTTTGTCTGAATTCTCATGTGCCAGTTTTTAATGGTAAAGCACAAAATTCCAATAATGTAATAAAGGAGCAATTTTGTTCATCAACAGTTTGATAGCTTACTTTAAAAAAAATTGCGCCAAAACGAAGAATAAATCAAAAAACAAATTATTGTCATAAACGAGTCTTGTTGACTGCCTATTATTGAGTACGCATATGGGGTCTTAAAGATATAATGCATTTTGCAACCTTCATAAATACAACCCTCCGTTTTCTGCAATGCAAAGGAATTTGCGGACTATTTCCCTAAATGCAATTCACTTAAAAGCGATAGTTAAAAAAAAGATATAATATAATTTTAATGCATTGACGAATATTTCCCTAACAGTAATCTGCTCAAGTCTAGATAATTATTTTTTGCAAGTCAACTTTCGAGAGACCAAATTTCGCAGTCGTTTGTCTGGATTTGGATGTGTTGCAATTATTGTTTGGTGAAGGACTTTCAATTGCTTCGACATGGGTGTCATTGTATGTTTCCCTATTTCTTCATTTGAAACTGAATGACTTGAATCTGTTTCGGATGTGGTGGAATCAGCGAGACGTCGTTTTTTCGTTGGTGGAGATGTGTGTGATGATAGTACACGGCGGAATTGTGAGAGGGACTGTATTATGTTGGTAAAGTTGTTTTGGGTATAACGAAAGTAGAATTATATATTTCACAGTAAATCGTATCATTATACAACTTTATTGCGTCCTCAATTTTAATACGAGTGCCGGAATTGTATACTTTTGTTCGATAAAAGGGGTCTTGATAAGAAAAAGTGGGATGACGCATCTAATTCAAATAAATTATCATAATCAAAATTGTAAGACATAATGACTAAAGTCTGTATACGTTGATATAAGTCATTTATAAATACTACTATTGTATCGTCAAAAAAATGCATGTGACTAAATAAGTTGGTGATATTCTGTGGGTCATTGATAATTGACGATTGTGCGGTCAACTTGCGGGAAAATTTATTAATTCGATTGGTTTGAGTCAAAAATGATGCGACTACAAATTAATCGTTGGTAAGCTTACCATGAGTGCAAGGAATTTGTTAGATATTCTGGGTAAATGCATTTGATCAATCGACGTTGTGAAAAATTTCGGAATAATTGGCGTATACGGTCGAGACCATTTTTGATTGGTAGGCTTCCATGAACGCCAACAATTTGTTAGACATTCTAGAATTACGAAGAAGTGAACAGTTGTGGCGTATATTGTACAAAAGGCAGGTCATATACATGCACTAAAATGTTATGAGGAAACACTTTGTAGATCTCCAGATTTATTAGAGTGTCGGCGTAGACCATTTAAGTATTAGGGTATATGAATTTAGCCAATAAAAAGTGTTGACATACGTAAATCAAAAAGTGTATTGGTAAGTTAGTCACGACGATAATGATAAGATAGTTAATATTTATTGCAATAATGATAAACTTTTGGTACAATTAAAAAATTCTCTCAAAGGAGCAAATAATATAATGATAGACAGTCGAATGAAAACTGAAACAGTAAGTTCAAATATTTGTCAATGGTAGAGAAATCGGTTGACAAATTCTCGAGCATGAGAAGACATATTAGATAAAATACAACGTATAGTAAATAAATAATTGACATAAAATTTTCATTATATAGTATTATAATAAAATAGTTATAATTTTTATAATTTGTTAAGGAATAAATAAGTGGCGCTAAATGTAATCGGCACGATTGTTATTAGTTATTTGAGTTGTTGTCCAAATCGATCTAAGTGTAATCGATCTGCCAAGAAAGCGTAGAATTCTAACGGACATAGGCACATTTTTCTTTGCGGAAAATTTAACAAAATTTTGCAAAAAAACAAATAGTACGAACTTTTTTTTTGTATATAAACAACCTTTTTTCCGTAAGCTTATGCATACGCCTAAGCATATAAGTTATGAGCTATGAGATATGAGCTATAAGCTATAATACTATTAAAATTAGACTTAAATATTTTCGGTAACTAGTGACAAGACAAGACGGGAAGGTAAAGCTATCAGATAGCTATTCAGTCATCATTATTTTAAGGCAAAGTAATTCTTGAATTTGGACTAATGCTTTCAACACAGCTTATCTTCCGGCTGGTTGAGCGAGATCAAAGCCAGACTCCAACGACATTCTGTTCACTGGGAACAAATAGAGAATAATGTTTGATACAGTAGAGCGGTACGTTCGCCAAGAAGGGAATTTATTTAACACGACGTAGCAAATACTGTTCGCGGAGAAGTTGAGATGTTGCATTAATATTATTATCCGTATCAAAACGGGGCGAGTCTATCCGTCGCCTCATAACGTAATGGTTTCACTATGTGTTCCTTGTTTATCAATAACATTGAATGCATCTCTTTGCATAACATTGCAAGAACGACCAGTTGACGTAAAAGGCGTATCGATGGGCAGAGGAGAAAAAGTATAAACAAAGGTGATACCATCTGGTTTTCGTACTCTTGAACCAATTGGTTGAGGATATAAGTAACTGGAGATATGAAAAATAATTGCTAGTTAGATGCAGTTAAATATACAGGGATCTTCATTGACTTTACCTGATTCTGAGACCGCAACAAGACAATGTTGAGCAGAATCTGTCTTTAAAACAGCGTATACAGAAATAAAATCGCCGGGTCAATAGCTATCATCATAGTATCACCAATCTGTCTTTTTACTTTTATTCTCTTCTTTGAACTTTGCCTTGTCATGAAGCTGTTTCCAAAAAATACATCTGCATGTCAAAAATAATAAAAGTATAATCATTAAGGTTAAGACAAATACGGCAAGATGATGTAATGATATAGCCGATAGTATTATCTTATAACAACACGAATAATGTTGCGATTATCGATCGCCAGGCACTCAGCGTCAATAAACAAGACTCTGGCATGCTCGGAAAATAATATATGAAATATTGATTAAGTGTACGCAATTGTTATTTCGGAGCATTGTGCGAAGCTCCAAGCATGGCTCAGCGTCCTATGAGGCACAGCACAGTTTTAGTTGTGATTTGGACAATTGCGAATTGCTATCTTATGCTCCTTATCAAACGAATCCAGTTGACCATGGCAACCAGAGACTGGGAAATCGTGATGCAGAAAGTGATCCTACCGCAATAAGCTAGCGAAGGAACGGTGGCTTTATGAGTAATACTCTTTCCCATTCCATGTCCTCATATTCATGATATGTATACTAATATCCCTAATAATACTTTTGTATCGCTAGTCCGTTAGATCATTCAGGCCAACACAACCTCACTGTAGACCTGTTAGCCGAATACTTTCCAAGAATGAGGCTCTCGTTGCCGAAGGGAGTGGATTTCACTGCACGAACCCTTTTAGATAAAGAAAACAGCCTTTTCATGCGGCTTCTTGCGGTAGAGCTTTTCTCCTGAGAACTTATTTGATGTTGCTGATACGTACATGCTGAGCTGTTTTATTTGTACGCAGTCCAAACACCCCGATGACACACCTGTGAAAACAGAAAAAGAGCGTAACATTAAGGAGCTTGTGAAAAGCATGTACGTTGAATAAGGAAATATGTCGCTTTCTATTTTGATGTGTCTAACGCTTATTATCATCTTGTAGCTTCAACGCAATAACGAAACCGGAAAGGGTAACCTTTCTGAGATGGAGCACATCTCACGTAATGTTATGCCTTTGTTAGACGCTACTGTAGGCCTCGATACGGAATGCCGCGTTCATTATTAGTAAGTCATTTTTCCTTGCATAATAATAATTCTTTTTTGACTGCTTATTAAATAAAATTTGTCGATACGTCTTATTACTATCTAGTGGAGAACGTACTCTGGAAGCGACAGCAGATCGACGAAACAAAGGCAGGGACCCCTTTGGACGAGCGAGAGACGGTTATAAAGTGGATGCCATAATCGAATATCAAGAACTGAGCTGGTTGCCAACTATCGGATGTGGAGAAGTTTCCGGTGGTCTGCACCTGACAGAGAGTGGAAAGACACTCTTAAACTAGGTCTCGAGTTGCGTGACATATGGCGCAAGGCACAAATTGTTTGGGGTTTACAGTGGTCGGTGAGCATTTATATTTTTCATTAGATTTCATGTTTGTATGAGTTATTTGCTATATTCGGTACTTACAGGGTAAAAAATTAGGCCGGAAACTTCGTATTTACGCGCTGGGTGTTCCCGGAAGACTCTTCCACCTGGTGCTTGTGGAAGAGGTGGCTCTACCGTCTTCATGCAACGACCTGGTCAGCCTGCAACACGCCTACCGCGTCATGCTGGCGTTCACGGACAGGTTAAACATTACGAAGAGGCAGCTGGTTGCGCGAAATCTGGAAAGGGCTTGTAATGTAGAGACGAATCAGGCTCCGGAAGAACGAGAGATGCCTCGCATAATCAATACACCAGGCAAGAAAATGACATCATAATGAACATGGCATAGAAAATGAACAAAAAGCTATATTAATATGTTGTAATGTTTCCTGATACAACTACAAGATGACTAAGTTTTTTATAGTTTGTGCTGCCGTCGTGTTCCTATGCAACGATTATAACAAGAGTAAATTTAGAATTATAATTACCATGTTTCACGGATTAAAGTACCCCTTAGCATAGTGCTCATTGTGAAGTTTACGGAATGTAAAGTACCGTCAGGTTGTTACACGAGATATTTGTAAAGTATCATGGTATAGTAATAGTATTAAATTTGTTAAATCTGCTTGACATCACCACATATTTTTATGCCGCAATAAAAACCTCAAAAACTCACTACATATTTTTAAAGCCGTCAATTTCTTCGTAATGCTCTCCCTCAATTTCCACCTATACATCGTTTTCTTTATCAGTTTCATCAATATTATCATTCAATCTCATATCAACTCATCCTCCATTCCATCTTCTTTAACTGAAATTCCACACAGCATTTAAATGCGCCTCTAATATCTAATAAGTTCACCATCAATGTCATCCCACGCCCTTTTTACCCAATAAGTGACTGTTGCATACGACGGTTTCTTGATTCGCAACTGGTGGACCATTTAATTATTGTAAACCCGCTGTATCTAAAGGATATATTGTTAGTATATTAATATAATGTTAAAAACAAAATACATATAGAATATACAATTACGAATTCTGGCCCACTTTATGTTACATATAATGATTGTAACGTTGACTTGTACTTGACTGTTGTTTTTTATTTAGTTTATATAATAATAAAGGCAAACGTATCCCTGTTGACTGGTAGTTGGCGACTTGTAGCATAGGCAGATCGAACACTAAATCCATAAAATGTCCCAAAAAAATATCCAGAATAAAAGTTCCAGTCAATATTTATTCGGTTATTCGGTTATTCGGTATAATTAACATCTAATCTGTACGAGTCATTGCTTAGTTTTTGAATTAAAAAAAAAGAACAATTTAAGTAATAAACTGTTTGTTTATTCCGCATGTTTGATACCTCGTATATAAAAAAAGTCACATCAACGATTTGATGACTATATTATGGATTTCCTAACTACATTACTAGTAATAAACAGCATTACTATCCAACCTATACCCGATCACGACGACAAAACAAAAGAAATAGGTACTGATTAAGTCTTATCTAATAGCAAAGCCATGCTCGAGGGCGAACCGCAAACTCATGCAGCAGAAATAAAGAGTAAAGAGAATTATAATTGACTATATTGACCTATTTATTCGAACGTACTAGTGAACACATCTACTGCATCCATATTACGATTTAAAATAGTAGTAGATGTACAGTTTCCGAGCACGCAACGGTGTCATGGTTCTACCAGCATCCGAGAATAAGTTCACTTGCAACAGATGTTGCTGGAATAGCAAGAAACTTATATAAACTTTTTAACTGTGGATCGTCAAACTCACCACCATTTCATTGAGTTATTGGCAAGGGAGAGTTGTTGTAAACTGATATCGAATAGTAGAGATTGTCGTTCGTAGGCTCCACTACCTACTTTGGACCTCATTATCACTTATATCTCTCAGCGAATTATTGTCCTCTTTTGTTCAAACTGAACTGTAGATATCCTTCTTCAATTTGTCTCGCGCCATATTGCGGTTCGCATCACATCAGAAGCAAATGTAAGATTTTTCCATCGTTTATCCAATAAAAACGCCAATAATTCTATGTCATTTGACACAGTCAATAGTGACATAACGCCGAATAAAGGTGAGCCTTTATACTTTTTTCTAATTTGATCGTATCTGTGGATTGTTCTGGCATTGTTTACAGGACTGATAATACATTCTTCAAGTTGACAAAGACTCATCGTCGTCATATTTATCCAGAATTGTGGTTGTGTTGGGGTAACTCATATCTTCGACTTTGTTAGTGTTGTGTTGTCAACTTGAATATAATGGGGTACATATTGTATATGCGAGAATTGTGTATTGGAGCCGGACAACAGTCTTGTAGCCTCTTCGAAAGGCGACAGAATATGTCTAAAACTCTTACTCTGCTGACTAGATTATATCGTTTGAGTATGTAACCATCTGCTGAATCATTACTACAACTACGATTAATAATTGTATTGCATCACGCAAGCAGAATTTCCAGCGGATCGTAACATATATTGTTTTAACTATCTGCTCATAATTCAATGCTTGTGTTGCGTTTTCAATAATGGTCCATTGTTTAGGAGTGTGCTAAGAAAACTAACAGGGCCGTCACGCACGAGCTACCAATATTTCAGCAGGTGTGCTAAGCCTTTTCTAACAATTAGGTATACAATACACCGCACATCCAGACCGGAGAACAGAGTCTATGTCTTGACTGCTCGTTTTATCGAACTATCATTATCTGAGCTGATTAAACCAATTCTATCCTGTATATTTTAATTGTTTTTTCTATTGCTGTCCGAATATTTACTGCACGAATGTCTAAAGTTATGTCTCATGTAAGAGAAAGTCTTCTGTCAGCCATGTGGCTATTACCCTTTGCACGCTGTTAATGAGATGAATTCTGTAATATTATGTATCAAATTGCTCACTCTATTTACAGCAGAATTAAATTCTTTGAGAATGATGTCGAAACCTAGAAACTGTAGGTTAATTAGCAAAGGAATTGGAAACAGTTTATCATTTAGGAGGTTAAATGGGAGACTAGCGGAAATAATCTATCGAAACATCCCATTAAAATGGGACTGCGTTCATTTAGGAGAATAAGGATCTGTATGTCTTGCCAATTCTCTAATGTCCCCGTCTTTCTCTCCCGTCCGATCGTTCTTTCACTTCCGTACATACAAACACTGACACCATTCTAACATTTTAACCACAAGCGTATACATATCCAAAGCTAGTCCAACTATTAGCATTAGCATAATAATAAATACATTAATATGGCAACTCGTTTTATCAACTTTACTCACTATCTTAACACTTCAAGTAATTATAAACTCAATCAGCGAATATTGTGTTTACAAGGTCTACCTACTACCTAGCAAACAAAAAATAAAACTCCCGAGACACAATTACCAACAATGATATTAACATGCATACAACCCTACTTTATAAATTAATCCACCTTACAAAAGATACCAAACTAACGCAAACGCATATCTCAAGCATCTCTAGTTACAACGACTTTCTTTGTCCACACCACACTGTACCATGATGTCGAATTCTGATAGACTTATGCCTGACCTACTGATGTTGTAACGCGATATTATTATGCAGTGGTCTTTGCGTAACGATGGAGTTGTCCACGTGTGGTATATCGGAAGCGGGATATGGGGAAATTATCTGGGAAATATTAAGTGTAATATGCGGTGGAAGAAGAATTAACGTACTTAGAATATTTTAAATACAGTATGTTGAGAAAAGCAATGGCAAAAAGTGGTATCAAAATCTGGTCAAGGGTTACGGATGCAAATATGTCAAGTGGGGAGTGAATAATAATCAAAGATGTTTTGTTGTGACGACTGAATCAAATCTATCGAGTTCTGTTTATGCGTTTTTGCTAGCTACATATTTTCTTACTGTGACAAACTCAGAAGCATGTCCAGCAAGCATGCCTTCCTCTCAAAGCAGCGTTCTGATCAAAGTCAACCAACTTGCGGATAAGAAGTATCAAATAAATAGAGCTTTTTTTTCACCTGCGAATGTAATAACGGGATTATTCTTCTTCAATACGAGTATTAATTTTTTTTTTTCAATAACCGAGTAAACGAAGAAGAAAAAAGATGTCGGCCAAAGTTGCGGTAGAAGAAAATTTTAATATTAGCGTGATAGAAGCAACCGTGTTATAAAGGTTGAGTAGAGTGGGATATTAACTAGTTAGATAAGTTATACAAATTCCTTGGAAAAGTGGCGGTTTTTTCCTAGATGACATGTTGATAGATTCAAAAAGGAATATGCTCTTCAACAATAATAATATTCAAATAGCAAATTACCAAATTTCAAAAGGCAAAAGACAAAAAATTATACAAGTGCTAGTTTTTTTTTTCGGGGAAATGGGAAAGGCCGTTATACATACCGTCATGCATAACGGTATAACGAGAACGGCGGATAAAATCTACATTGATATTACGAATTTCGACAATACCATACAGCCCACTCTTGTTCAGCCGTAAAAATAAAAACAGCCGAATAAAGCAGATAATCCAACCCACCAAACTTCAGAACAGTCAATATCATCGCCAAACAAAAAATCTAATATACAGAAAAAGTCTGTCAAGAAAAAACCGATAGAACTGAAAATTGTCACTACGTTCAAATTAATCGAATAGAATTGCAAACATAAAAAGTAATCTTGTTTCGCATAAAAATAAACACGAGCAATATAATAACATTAAAGACTTTTTCATCTAATCAATTATTAGTCAGTCCCAGTAAATAACACAAAATATCACTTTATAATCAGATTCGTCGTTCTATAACCGTAATGGAAAATTGATGTACACAAATAAACAATAATTTTACCTAGTTTCTTAATGAATATGTACTAAAAAAGCAAATTTGTGAGGCAACGTACATTTTTAAATTGTTTTGTCAAAAACCTGAGCTTAACTCCACGCATAAACCAAACGCTCAGCATAATAAGAGCCACATTGGTACAAAAATTACTCATAAAAAACAAAACAGTTATATCTTACAATGTTCAAACGTCCTAACATAAAATGAAAAGCCAAAATCTGGTTGCTTGTGTGCAGCCTGCCAAAATCAGTCAAGGAATAGTCATCTTCGAAACCTCATATCAAACAATGTCCAGTACAATGGAAGAGACAAAACTTCGAAAGATGTTTCAATTCTAAAGTTGTCTGACCTGAGCAGCAGTGTGTGAATTTTCGATGAATAACCGAGAAGTGTTATTGATAACAAACGCGGTTTCAATTTCATGTAAGTCAATGTATTTAATAATGAAATATTTCGACCAGTCTACGTTGTTTTTGTTCTTGCCCCTTGC